TGTCATCTGCATATCTTATGTTGTTAAGATTCTGACTGCCAATAATGAATGCTGGTCAATCAGTTATGTGCCATGCATGATACATGCTTAGGCAATCATGTATCTTTCGATACATGACTGACAAGGCAGATTTTTTCCTGCAGTAGGTTGCCATTTTTTTCTGCAGTAGACCAGTTGCCATCCAAGGCTAAAAAACCTGGTCTTTCCTGCTATTTAGTTATAGCTGGAGGGACAAGAAGAGGATTCATACCTTTCCCAAGGGTATTAGCACATAAATGAATCCTGGTAGTACTTCTAATTCTTTCAGAATGGCCTCATTTTATAGGTTGAATAATCCAGTGAGAAGACTTATCCTTGTCTTAGACTCCTTTCTATTTTTGTATCTTTACTGAATTCATTTTTGGGGGACAACACAACTTAAACTATATTCAAATCCAAATATATAGTTTAAATTAATTAAGGAATGGCAGGTACATAATCAGTTGTCCCTACCTGACTACATGCTCTCGAATCACGTGAGATTTTAATTTAACTCTATACTTCTAACACTTCACCTATACTCCAAAATTCCATAGACTAATTTTTTTTAATAGGAGTAGGTAGGGGTTGCTTATTACCCAGTTTACACTGCTTCCCATTCTTTTGAACAGGAGTAGAGTTTTATGCCTTGTTTCCTGTTTAGGGTTGGGTCTCTGGTTCCTCCTCTTAAGATTTTCTCATTTCTTTTCACTCCAGCAACCCTTTGTATCTTAGTGGCATTATCACCTTGCTTGGGGTGAAATGACTAAAAAAGTATTTGTATATAAGTATATGTAAGTAACTGTAGTATGTTATGAATACAAACAGTATAGTAAGTATACTAATTGTGGTATGAATGCAAGCAGACCATAAAACAAGAATTATATCTTATATGTTAAAGAATTATATCTTATATCCTTATGGAGAGGAAAAACAATGTTTCAAATTTGTTATTTCAAGTGTTTGTATGAGCCCTTTCCCAAAACATTGTGCATAACATTTCCAATCCATATCTTCTAGGCATCAGTTTAAACTGACACTCCTTTTTTCCATATTTTTTTTTTTTTTTTAAGCGTTTCACCCCAAGCAAGGCAGGAAGCCACTAGGATGCAAGGGGTTACAGGAAATAGCAAGATCAAATAGGAGTGATAGAAGAAAGGATGAGGGTAGTGGATAGATTAAGGCGACTGGAGATGTCGATTGACATTACATTTGAATAGCTGGAGATTATAGCTGACAGGGAAACAGAAGGGAAGGGAGTTCCACAGGCGAGAGGTGCGAGACATGAAGCTATTAGAGTAGAAGAGACGGCTACATTTAGGAGTTTCGACAGTGAGGGGGTGAGAGCGGGATGCCAGCCTCGTAGGGCGCTGGAACTCATGACGTCTGGGAACCAGCGAATGCAGCTCCTCTGAGCAATTTCCATGAAAGTATTTGTAGAACAGACAGAGGGAGGCGACAGCGCGTCTGTGAGAAAGTGACTGTAGACGAGACGCCAGGGCAGGGCCAACCATATTGCATATCCGCCTCTGGAGCCTATCAAGAACCCCGTGCAAAAAATGAGGTTGTGGATTTGTATATCTGGAGGATCGACTCAGGGAGAAAAAAAAACCTAAGCGCGGCTCAGGGAGCCAACTTTCCTCACAGTGGACGAGGCAATTGACTCGATGCATTTATTCCATCTCAAGTCAGCAGTCAACGTGAGACTGAGAAGCTGCAGAGAGTTGCTCTCGAGAAGTTGAGCGTCAGACATTCTAATGGAGGGAAGGGAAGGATCTCTGTGGTGATTAAAAAGAGCAGTTTTGTCTTCGAAGCGTTGAAGTTGACCAGCAAATTCATGCCCCAGTTCACAATTAATAGGAGGTCCTTTTCGAGATGCACGGCAAGGTGAGTTTTGTCAGCGAGACTAGATTTGTTTTTGAGGCAGGAATAAATTGTGGTGTCATCTGCGTAGATGCCTACTTGGGAAGTTACAGCATCAGGAAGGTCATTTATGTAGATAAGGAATAGAGTGGGGCCTAGGATGGAGCCTTGAGAGACACCTGCGTTCGTGGGATAGGAACTGGAGGAGAATCTGTTGAGAACGACCTTGATCTAAATTATAAGTACAAGTTATAATTTTGGAAAGTGAAAATTTCACTGAGATATGTTGTAAAATTTCCAAATTTTCATTTGAGATCAAGAAAACAAAAACTTTAACCAAAATGTCCACAATACATTGACAAACAGAAAGCATCAGTTTAAATTGACACCAGGAGGATATGAGTTAATATCAAAAATGTCTCTTTACTTGTAATAATCAAATCAGCAATTTCAAACGGAAGATGTCACTTTAAAAGTTATCATTTAGTATTTTCTTTAATTGAAAATAATTTCTTATAGTGTTAATAACTATTAAATGTTAACAATTAAAAATGACAGACCTTTTCCTTTAAATTACTTCCCTTTAACTAAATTTGTGAAAGTTATAAGCGACCTCAATAATTGTAATTACTAATTCTAAAGGAATATTTTGTTCGCCTTGGAAATCGTGAGTTGAATCTACAGGTCTACATCCAAAGTAGATGCTGATGTGTATCAAGTGGAATTGGAAGCGCATTGTGTATTATGAGCTTCTTTTGCAAAATCAGACATTAAACTCAGACATGTTGTTTCCAATTGAACTTATTAAAGGCAGAAATCGATGAAATGCAACCAAAATTGGAAGAGTGTCTTATTCTACCAGGATAATGCCAAACCTCGTGCCTCTTTGCAGACACATCAGAAATTGATATGGCTTGGCTGTCTTATGGCTTAAGATGTCTTACTACATCAATTATATTCACTTGACTTTGCACATTTGACTTACCATTTATTTCCCTACAAAATGCTCTTAATGTTAACTACTTAAAGCCTCCAGAAACCTGCAAAAGCTACTTACACCAGTTCATCACCTAGAAAAATGTCACCAAAAATCTGGGAGGGTGGAATCATGAAGCTACCTCAAAGATGCCAAAAAGTAATGAAACAAAATGGCACATATGTGGCTGAACGAATCTATGTACAAATATCTAAATATTGTCTTTAAATTCACTTAAAAATCAATATGTACTTTTGTTCTGATCCAACATATTCTGCACAACAATTAATTCTTTTTAATATTTATACAAAATTTGTATTTTATGACAGTAAATGTTAGAATAATTCTGTTAATATAATGGAACAAATGTTTATTTTAATATGAAAGACAAGTAGAATAGCAGGATGTCAATTTAAATACAAAATCCGTGTTTTGAATATTATGAATCAAAATCATTCTTCTTTGTTTCATAAAATAGAAACAATTGTATATTCAACACAAACAGAAAGTCATTGAATTTTTTTAATCAATTTCACTCGAAGGAAGGCAGTAAAGCCACTAAGACAAAAGGGGTTACTGAGTGTAGAAGAAATAGGAACAGAAAAATTAATGATGAGCAGAAAGAGAAAAGAGTAATCAGGACAGTAGATAATGATTGACATTGCATTTAAATTTTTGTAGATTAAAGTTGGCTGGAAAGCATGGAGCCAGAAGGGAGTTCCACAAGTGACAAAAGAAACTTTTAGCATAGAATTTACAGCTACATCTGTTCAGCTCATCTGTAAATTTACAGCTACATCTGTTCAGCTCATCTGTAAATTGATGAGGTCTCTACACCAATCTAGTACTTCACTTAAATTCAAAAAGTCTAGGTGCCATAGCAAAGAGTGATATTTATTTGTAATTTATTTACAAAATGTGGCACAAGGCTAAAATGGTGAATGGAGAAAAGGACAGTCCTCTTCTGTCTTAACATTAAACTTAGCTAGCCAAAAACACTGACCCAAACATACAGCAACATTCCTTACACCACAACAACACATTCTTACTTACCTTTCTTACTACATCTGCCATAATACTGTAATGTCTCTATGAAAGATCTAACTAGTCCCCTTATGTAAAATTCATTGGTGGGGAATAAAAAAAAACAACATAGCAAAGAGCGCAGCCAAACAATTACCATGACAGTATTTATAAAAGAGGCACAGGGAGGAAACCTTACAGCAGTGGGAAAGTGACTGAAACTGAGCTGCCAGATCAGGACTGATAATATTGCTGATTCTTTTTTAATTTTATCAAGGAGTTCAAGGTATATGTGGCAGCAATATTCTAAGCATGGGTGAATGGTAATCTTATAGATATCTATGAAAAATTCTGAAGAGAAAAATTGTCTTGCATGACAGAGTGAACCAACTTTCCTTGCAGCTGACCTAGCATTTGATTCAATATAGTCTTTCTACTTCACCTCAGCTGAGAACATTAGCCCAAGACAAATGAATACAATGGCTACTTCTCTGTATTGATTGATTTTATAGTTTGTTTTTTTTTCAACTTGCAACATCTACTAAATATAAGACAAATTAAATTATATTTTAGCAAATACAGCATGAAGAATTGTAGATATTGAAAATTAATATCAAAAAAGAAAAAGTGTTGTAAATTCTCTTAAGCAGTCAGTTTTTTAATCAACCCTCATGAAAATGTATCATTGTTAGATTTAAAATTTAACAATAAAAATTAAATTACCAATAAAAATGAAGTAAAACATTCTGAAAGGAATCCTTACCCGTCATCTCACAAAAAAAATTTATCTCTCTTGGGTGTGTATATGAAATGTATATGTTTTTGTCTGTCTTGTGTATGACTGACTTACATCTGCATGTGCAATTTAATGTACACGCAAGTACACACAGGAACTCCTAGAGAAGTGAGTAAAGTAAAGTGAGAAGAAAGCAAAAAACAAAGCAAGATGGTTCAAATTTTATTTTTCTTTCAAAACAAAAAATTTACTAACAAATTTTATTTCTGAATAAATAAAAATAAAACAATAGCTTCATGCTATTGCAATGGCAGATGACTACAATACTGTTCCAGATATGTTACACCATGGAGCATGGCTTGAAGTACTTGTATTCTTTAAGTGTTAGGTCAGGCTTAGAGTATCTGGTTTCGCTGCAAAAAAAAAAAAAATATAGAGAAATGAAAACAAACAATAATATTTGCAACATTACATCATTTAAGTGATTATTTAGTTAAGGTATGCAAAAATTTAAAAACTGTTAGAAAAATAAACAGGCAAGATGGAGATGTTAAAACCAAGTAAGTAAATAAATTTAAGTGTCTAGGAAATGTTTTTAATAGATAATGAAAAATGAGATGCAGAAATTCAAAGTGTCAGCCTTTTAAAAAGAAAAACAGAAGTTGAATAAAAAATAACATTGCTCATTACTAAGTCCTTCCCTTAGAGAAGCAATAACAAATGACAACTATTTGGGGCCAGCACGTACTACCTTCAAACTCCTTAAACAGGGTGTGGAGCGCATGCTTAAAAATTAAACTAAGCACAACTGAAAAACTTTGGGATGAAAAATTTTTTGTGTATTTTGACATCATTCTTAGATTTTATTTTTGTTGCCCAAATCCGTGAATTTATTTTCTTCATGCTATGTCTCAGAAAAGCAAGGATATAAAATTTGCTATTTTTTATCTATAAAGTTAAATGTGTTAAAATTATTCAACTTTTAACAAGAAAAATCTCAAGATGATGTTAAAAATCGCCACAAATCATTGTTGAATTATTTTAAATGGAATTATCTATTTTATGATATGTCTCTAATTTGTATTTAGATATATTGTATTGATATAATGATATATAATTTTGTATAATTTTATATGTCAACAAACACTATTTAGAAAAATATGACAAACTGGAAAATTTCTTGTGATGCGTTTCAGCCGTTAAATATATTGTATTTATTTTCAATTTTTCTGGTTGAATTGTTCACCTATATTGTATATGATCGATTATTGTACATAATTAGGTTACAGTAAAATTTGTATTTTATATGAATACTACCTATGGAAAATTGAGATTTAGTAAAGTGTGGGGGCCTTGTATCATAGATTTATGGTGGGTGGGGGTGTACTCCTTTACAATTTCTTTTTTTTCTCTTACCGCAACCAGTAAATGAAGTTATGGAAGAAAGAAGAAAATTAGAAAAATAAATAAAAACACATCCCAATTTTTTCTCTGGCAGGAGACAATTGAAGATTATTAACAAAACTACTAAACTTATAAACTATTTTTTTTTCTTGGGCGGAGCAAACAAAAAAGATGAGTTATTACTGCTATATTTGGGCTGGGGCTGCTTAATCTTCACTCTCCAGCCTTGACAGAGTTCAGAAACATTTACATTGCCCTGGGTGGGGACAACTTGTTTTCCATCCAACAGCCTTTTTCTCACATATGCAATGTCACAAGTCTATCACTATCCTATTTCTATGGCAAATGCTCTGATGAGTTCCATTCTTTGGTTCCACTATTTCATGCCTTCACAGTTAATATCCACCATAGGTTTGAACCACCCTTATACTCTTTGTATACCATTTGTAAGAAGGAAGTTTCCCTCATATAGCTTCTTCCCAAGGAAACCAAATTTATGGAACAGACTCCCACATGGATGCTTCCCTGAACACTACAATCTTAACCTCCGCAACTCAAGGGTCAATTGTTATCTATCTTCCTTATCCTCATAATTGTCACTACCTACTTCTTGTTCTTACATCCATCCCATACTTACTTGCCCGCTAACTTAAGTGGCTCTTAGGCTTTACATTAGGTTTATATTAGTATTAAAAAAATTTAAACAAAATATTAAGAAACAAGAAATTTTCATTAGAAACAAAGAAAAGAGTGCTAAACTTTTATTCTATCAGTTCCCCTATATGGCAGTGAATTTTGGACGATCGCATTTCAGATGAAGAAGAGACTTGAAGCAACAGAAATGAAATCCTATAGAAGGATACTGAGAATCCCATGCACTGAATATGTGAGCAACAACAAATTTTTAATAAAATGAAAACAAAATGACATATACTGAAAATCAGAAAGAGACAGATGAAATTTCTGAGACATATAATGAGAAAAAGGGTTTGGAGTATTTGAAAATCACAGGACATATTGAAAGCAAGAGGGTCAAAGAGAAACCTAACCAACAAACTTGTGTAACTGGATGACAGAACAGGAATCAGTAGGGATAATAAAAAAAAAGAAAAATAGTGCTAAGAACTACAAATGATAGGAACTTGTGCAGAGCTATGATCACCAATGGTTTAAAGAAGAAAGTGTGTTGTAAGTAATTTAATGAAAGAGGTATAATATTAAATTCTGATCATTAACAAAGACTTCTTCTTTATGTGCCATGTCCCCCTCAGGAGGTAGGTGATCATGGCTCTCCACAACTGCTTGTCCTTTGTAGCTCTTAATAAATTTTGTCTTTTTGTTATTTCTTCTGAAGTCTGTTCCACCATCCATTCACTCAAGATCACTAAATATGTTATGCATTGTTTACCTCTATCCCTCTTTGCCTTCAATCTATTCTGAGAGCATTAGATTTTCCTAGTCCTCTTTCCTCATTATGTGCCCTCTTAACTAATCAAATCTATGAAAAATATTAACCAATCAAATCTACAAAAAAATAAGACAGTAGCTTTGCTTGCATTTTTTGTATGAGACAAACAAGGAAATAAAATATAACTGTGATAGAATGTAAATAAATATAAATGCTAGAAACATGATACAAGAATGATACAAACAGATTACTCTCCAATCATTTTTCAACTTTAAATTAACTTGTTGAATATGAACAATATTCACTGATTTCTTTCAATATGCAGGTGGCAAGGAAAAATTCACAGCCTGACCAACAAGTCTTTTGCAAAAAAAAAAAAAATTTGAAAATTTTAGTTAGATTTTTGGAAGGATGATAACATTTTAGCAAACACTTGTAATTTTTTGAGATTAGTGATTTGAAGAAATCAATCCTTAACATGGGAATATCTTTGACTAATATGTCTTATATGAACCGAAGTTAAACTAATATTATTTCATAAACACTGACAATAACTATCCCAGCAATTCCAAATTGCACACAAAGACACACACACACACACACACAAAAACACTCATGCACAGAACATGTACACACACAGAAGCACACAGGTGCACATACACATAGGTACACAGGTGACCCACACAAAATGATACAGAAATTAATACACAGATGCACATGTAAACACCACAAGCATGTATATATACACATGTAGACACAAATGCACACATGCATAGATGCACACAAATATACATACAAAGAGGCATATAGATACACACTCACAAGCACACACTCACAAGCACACACTCACATATGCTCAAATGAAGAATATTTATTCACACTGACTAGTCTGACTATATGGCAAGAAGTGACAATGACTTCACCAAAGACATTGTCATTTATAAGCTTCTTGTTTCTATATTTCTTGTTAAAAACATAACATTATAAAGTCCTTTAAAAATTCATGATCCATAAAGGATAAATATCAGTTGGCCATAAAACTAAATAACTAGCAATTTAAGAATGAGGATAAAACTAAGTGTTTTAGGTGGATCTTCTAATCTAAGATCCATGTCTGAGAGAATAATATTGAAGTCACTAATAAAGAAAAACAAATGTTCTCTGCTGACATGAATTAGAAAGACTATATTGAATCCATTGCAAGGTCAGCTGCTAAGAAAATCACTTCACTGTGTGGTGTGAGACAATTTTTCTCTCCAGAATCTATCTTACATATCTACAAGTCTACCATTCACCCATGCTTAGAATATAGCTGCCACATATGGTCCGGTGCCCCTGTTATTTACCTTGATCTCCTTGATAAGATCCAAAGAAGAATCAGCAATATTATTGGTCTTGATCTGGTAGCTCAGCTTCAGTCACTGCTGCAAGGTTGCCTTTCTATGTCTTTTCTATAAAAATTTTCATGGTAATTGTTTGAATTCACTGTGGTACCAAGAGTTTTTGAATGTAAGTGCTGTACTACACTGGCGTTGAGATCTCATCAATTTACAGTTGAGCTGACTAGATGCAGCGATAAATTCTATGCTAACAGTTTTTTCTCTCACACTTCTCACTTGTGAAACTCCCTTCCATGCTTTCCAGCCAACTTTAATCTGCAAAAATTTAAATGCAATATCAATGGGTATCTACTGTCCTCCTGATTACTCTCTTCTCTTTCTGCTCATCGCGCTTCTGTTCCTAATTCTTCCACACCCTGTAACCCCTTGTGTTTTAGTGGCATGACTAAAAAAAATGACAGCAAGTTTTCAACAGCAGTTCTTACAAAAGGGAAAAGCTTCAGTAAGTGCAGTCAAGCATGACAAGCACAGCAGTACTCATCAGCAGGCAGGTTAGGTTTAAGGCTCCAAGTTCTCTACAGAGAATTGTCCTATGGAACAATAGCCTAGTAGATTAAAGTGTTTGTAAATGATATAAATTGTGAGTTCAATCTCTTGCATTATGAACTTGAACTCAATGGAAACAGGGCAAGGAATAAATGAGCATTACTAAAAATAAGAAATAGATATCACTAGAACTGGGCAGTGGAATGAGAATAGTCTACTCCTGTAAATTAAATAAAGGGTTTAATTTTGAATTAACTGTAGGTTACATGGATCAAAATACTCCAGGTAAAACATTGTGATAACAACAACAAAGTTGAGAACAATAGTCTGCATGCAAATAGTGTAAATAATCAAAGAGAATAGTATTGTATAAGAGGGTGCCGAACAATTCTCAGCCTAGTATTCTGATGTTTGGTCATTAAAATACAAATTGTGGGAATAGGTCAGGCTGAGAACTTTTCAGAGCCCTCTTATAACTTGGTATTATAAAAACCAGAGTAATTCCTAATATGTTCTTAATTGTTGGTTACAAGGAAATTGTTTGAATGTTTTCTCAATTCCTAAAATCTGTGGTTACTCTTTAGCCAAAATCGTCTTTTCAACTATTTTCAAAGGAATGTATTATTATTTGTCATTATCTTCTCAGTTTGTTTTCCCTTAAAAGTATCTCATTTTTAACATTGTCTTACTGTGATACAAAAGCAATATAGGAGAA